TTTTTTGATTAAATAATTTCAGTTGAATATGGTAACATTATTGCTTAACAACATTTACGAGAAAAAAATTAAAATTAATAATGAAATTGTTGAAAAAGCTGTTTCTCATGATTAATAACTGATATTATTCATCGTACAATTATACTTTGCATCTGTCATTTATTTTTGGCTGATTTCATCTTAATTAGTGTAATTGTTTTGATATGATGAAAATTTAAATCAAAGCTAATACAGGCTGTCCATTAAACTGGATTCTACACATGCCTGATTAACTCAATCATTCTCGAATTAGCTATCATTTTGAGGCGCTTTTTTAGTATAAGATTGCTCAGTCACTTCGAATTATGATTTAAACAAAGCCAGATCTTAGTATTTTAAAAAAATAAAAAAATGTTTTGGTGTTTTAAATTCAATTTTGAATAATTTATAGGATTGAGAACGAATTTTGAAGTGGAGAAAAAATTTCATTAAATCAAAATCTTGCTATGTTTTTCATTTTGAAAATAATTAGCTATCGTATGAGAAATTATTCACAATTATTTCGTATTATGGTTTAAACAAAATAAAAAATGGTGAACAAAAAATTTGCAACTTCACATACTTTGAAATGATCGATTATTCTTTTGCAGTCAAACAACTTCAAAAAAAATTCCTTTCAGGGGAAAAAACTTTTCAAAAATTTTTCTTAACTTATGAAATGAATCTATTAGGCTTTAATTTTACTTTTTATTCAGATTTATTAGAACAATCTTTTTTTTTCAATTTACACAAATTTTAAATATTATTAAAATATCTCCTGTAAATTGCTGTCCCAGTTGTTCTATCAAATGATTTTGCATTTCTCGATGATTTCTTACTTCTTTTATTCAGACATCACAAATCTGTGCCATTTATGAGTCTGTCTCTTTGCGCTTTTTTAGTATTAGCCGTCTTAAATTTAATTTCGAGCAATTTATAGGATCGAGAACGAACTTTAAAGCGAAGAAAAAAAATCATTTGCACTTGGACATACCATTAGCTCCATTATGCGATGTTCCTTGGGATAACAATAACCTCCTTTGTAATAAAATCAAAATTGAAGATGTAAGTTCCAATTTTTACAAAATAAATTATTTCAGAATAATTCGAGATTTTTTATGCAAAGCTTATTAATAACGCCTAAGGCAGTACTTCTTTATCTGCTTGAATTCGTTAGCATTAAATATATTGTTAGATAAATGATTTAATGTAATCTATTTCATCCGAGCTAGCAAATCCCTTTCATTTTAAATTTAACAGTTCTTTCTTCTTGATTTCAAATCTGTTATTTTTCAAATATCTCTTCAAAAATTTATTTACAATATGAATAATGCCTTTTACTGTAAACGTCTCTCTTTCACGATACAATACTCAATCTTGACATGAAGTTGAAAGTTCTTTTTTTTTTCTTTTCCTCAGTTTTAAATGTATAGTATAGAAATGATGTAAATATTAAGTAATTTTGAAACATGTATACTCCAATAAGATCATGTAAGCAGTAGAGTTGCTCTCATTTTTCAGTCTTCCATAGTTAGTTTGATCTTAAACTCACGATCGCGATCGGATGATTTAAAACCCATAATCAATTGATCTAAAACCGGATATTTTTACATTCCTATATTCTTGATTCTTTCTGTTATTATCAACCAAAATATCACATGTCAAATCAGTAATCAGTTAATCAAACAAGACCATATTGGACATTCTGTTCTTTCAATCAACAATGTAAATTAATATTTGATGAAAAGGAGTGATATGATTTGAAAAAGTTAACCCATATTTCTATATAATGATGATTCCTGCACATCATATACACTTTAAAATATTGCAACTTTCAAGAAATGTCATGTCCACTGCAAAGATTAGAATTCAAATATTTAAAAATTAGTCAAGTCATACGGTAGAAAGCTACATTTTTGCCATTTTGCTTTTTAAGTTTACATATTGAAATTAATTAGATTAACATAGAATAAATGCCTGATTAAATCGATCATTCTGTATTACTTTACTTCTTTACTACATTTACTAATTACTACACGAATGATAAAGTAACGCAACTTAACGAAAATTTTATAGCATTATTCATCGGAGAACGATTCGGATGTTTCATTGTCAACAACAAATGATAGTGTTATTGCTGATAGTGCTACTGATAGTACCGCCAACACAAAAGCAATAGCAATGACATCTGAAATTGAAATTACTGAAATTGTAAAAGAAGGTGAAAAAGCAGATCCATCACAATTTGAACTATTATCCATGATTGGACAAGTATGCTGTTTATCCTTCTTTTTTTTTGTAAAATAAAAAAAATAAACAATAACAAAACAAAAGTAATAGTAATAACATTTGAAATTATTTCATTACTATTTATTTTTCAGGATACTTGAAATAATTTAATTTTTTTTTGATATTATTTTAATCTTATCCTAATCATTCATATGATAATATTATCATTCATTAAAATTCAACTAAAATAACTCATCTTAATTCTCATGCCCTCTTCATCTCGTTTAATTATACCTTCGAATGAACAATGGCAATGTGCAGCTTCACATGAAAGAAAATAATCGATGAAAGTTTTTTCAACTTAACCAACAAGAATTTGATGATGAAAATGGAATGATTAAACAATTAGCACGTGTAACACACGTGATTTTTAAGGGTTCATTTGGTAAAGTGTTACTCGTGAAGAAAATACGTGGGCGTGATGCTGGACAATTGTTTGCGATGAAAATTCTCAAAAAAGCTACTCTAAAAGGTATTTTTACCTCTCTCGTTTTTTTTTTCTTCGTTTTTTAGATAATATCTTTTTTGCTAGGAATACAATAGATTTAAATAATACTAATAATGATTAAATTTGTGAAATTTCATTTAAAAAAAAAGCAAAAAATTGTCAATATGTTAATAACAGAGCTTCAAAAATTCCTGATTACATTTAAATTGAAATTATTGACATTTATTACAGTTCGTGATCGATATCGTACAAAAGCGGAACGTGATATTTTAGCTCGATTTCATCATCCATTCATTGTTCGACTTCATTATGGTAAAAAAAAAAGACGAAAGTTTGATTATCATAAAATTACGTTATTCCATATCAAATTTGAAACTAAGTTTTTTTTTTTTTTGGAAAAAAACTTAGTTTTAAATTTGGTATCGAAAATAACTGTTGATTTTTTTTGTACTTTCATTTAAATTACTTTCCAGGAAATAGTTATCTGTATGTTTGATTGAATTTTGCTCTTTTAATTGCAGCATTTCAAACGGAGGGGAAATTGTACTTGATCCTTGATTTCCTACCTGGTGGAGATCTTTTCAATCGTCTTTCTAAAGAAGTTCGTATTTCCTTTTGTTCTAATTTTTGATTTCTTTGATTTTAAGTTTCTTTTCTGCTTTTTTTTTGTAAATTTAGAAATTTTGACATTTCTTATTTTTTTCTGAAAAAAATTTTTTCTTTTTTTTTGGTTATTGTTTTTTGAAATTAAAGATTTATTTTCGTTGCTATTAATTTTAAAAACTTTTGAAATGATAATAAAACATCCTAAATGTGCTGCCTAGATTAAGCTGAATAATTTAGTGATCATCGTGATAATTATATCGTAAACTTAATTAAATTAAACTTTTTGTTTTTGCTAAATGTTACATCCAATATCTAATTGCGCCACCAGCAAGAAAACTCTGAGAAATTTATAATAATGAAAAGAATAACTGATCGTTTCAATCTTGTTTATCAAATGAGAGAGAGAGAACTCTCTTTCTCTCTCTTTGGATGATTTATAAATTTTTATATTTTCACTCTTTCTTTCTCTTGCTTATACCTTCTCATTTATTTTACTCTGTGACCTTTCTCACATATTGTTATTCCTTATTTATTTAAATAAATTCAATTTATTCTTCAGGTAATGTTCACCGAAGATGATGTCAAATTTTATATGGCGGAAATTGCATTAGCTCTTGGACATTTACATTCGTTAGGTATCGCATACCGAGATTTGAAACCAGAAAAGTAAGTTGATAAAGTGAATTTATTCTTAGTTTAAAAAAAGCTATGAAGTGAACTTTTCAAGTTCAAAAAAAAGAAAAAACGATGGTGTTATCTTAAATGCTTTTGGCATAGCATATGAAGCATTTTTTTTTTTTTTTTGTTATCTCATAAATCGTAATAATTTCTGGTAACTTTTAAAATTTTCATTCCATTTATTATTGATTTCGGCTTAAAATTGCTTTCTGTTTAAGCATTTTCCAGTCCTCTTCAAAAGCATAATCTTGTTGAATAAATTGTAGTTTCGGCTAATTTTTTTTTTTTTGCCAAAGATTGTTCAGGTATGATAGCTATTAATTAATGAGAATAAATGATCATCGATAGATGGCAATTCATTTACAGATACACACTTGTCTTATTCACTGTTTGATTTTTGTTTTTTTTCTCTCTCTCTCTCTCTCTCTCTCTCTGTTGTTTAAATTTTTATAAATGCATTTTATAAACATTTGCAGCGTTTTATTAGATGCTGACGGGCATATTAATCTTACGGATTTTGGATTGTCTAAAGAATCGATTGAAAAAAATGGGAAAACGTACAGTTTTTGTGGGACTGTGGAATATATGGCACCAGAAGTGGTCAATCGACGTGGACATACGGTTGCAGCCGATTGGTGGAGTCTTGGTGTTCTTATGGTGAGCTATATTGTATTGATTTATATCGGAAAATTATTAGTCTATATTGAAAAGTATGAAAAGTATTGATTAAACAAAATTCATACGTAAAAATGTTTGTTTTTTGTTTTTCACTTGAAATATTTCAATGTGAAAAATTTGGAGAATATCGAACAGCCGAACGTGATTGATTGAAGAATCAATACGGGACAGTTTAATATTTTGCAGTAAAAGATGAAAAAATTCATTAAAAAAAGATTTCCATTTATTGATAGTTTTTCGATTTGAATAATATGTTCAGTTAATTTAAATGAAATCATTTTTAGTATGAAATGCTAACTGGTGATCTTCCATTTCATGGTAGTAATCGTCGGGAAACAATGTCAATGATTTTGAGGTGAAATTATACTTTTTGCAAATAAATATTTTCAAAAATGGGTTTAGGAAAATTTGAAAAAAAAAACTGTTAATTTGAAAAATTAATTTTTTCTATTACCTACATATTAATTATCAGAAGTAATATAGTGGATTGATTAATTTATTTATCATATTGTTGAAAGTAAAATGAATTTTAGGGCAAAATTAACAATGCCACAATCATTATCAGTTGGAGCGCAACATTTACTGAGAGCGCTTTTCAAGCGCAATCCAGCAAATCGTTTAGGTTGCACGACTGATGACGTGCAACAGATCAAATCACATCCATTCTTTGATACAATTAATTGGGAGAAATTATATAGGCGAGAAGTTCAACCACCATTCAAACCGTTATGCACACCAAGCAATCATACACGTTGTTTCGATCCGGAATTCACCAAAAAAACACCTCATGGTTAGTTTTTCATGAAAAAAAAAATTCACAAAATAAAAAAACATCTTCAGATATTTCGGAGTACAGGAAGCGTTATTCTTTAATATTTAAATTTTATTACTTATTAGCTATGATAATCTTCTTCACTGGTATGCAATACTAAAGAATAAAAGCAAATTTTTAATTCTTTTAGATCATAACAAAATATTTCAATTAAAACTAAAAAATTAACTTAATAAATAACTCAACGATTACATTTACCTTTATTTAGATGAATGTTATCAGTAAAATATGTTTACATATAGTAAGATATATTTACATATTTATTTTAGCACGTTTACCTTAAGTATTGAAAGAAATATTTTGTAGTTGAAATGCTTCATTCAAAAGGATTTCAACCAACTAATTAAGGAAGATATTGCTAATTAATAAAAGGAAAAAAATTTTTTGCAGATTCACCTGCTTTACCGCCATCTGCAACTGCTCATGAATTATTTCGTGGCTTCAGTTTCGTTGCTCCCTCTATTCTTTCTAGTGATAAGCCAAATTTATCAGTTAATGTCATCACGTCACATCTTCAGGGAGCTGAAAAAACGCATATTTTCGATGAATACAATTTCATTGAGGTTAACAAATAAAATTATAATTTTGAATTTTAATAACATCAAAAAGATTTGTTACTTCGCAGCTAATGGAATTTTCAGTTGTTCAGAACAATTTAGTTTTGTTTGTTGATTTTTTTTCTTAATTTATTATTATCAGTTTCTTTTCTTATTTATTAATTCATTGATAATATCAATGAAAGTTAATTTTTTAATTTATTTTAATTCTTT